CCCCCCTTTTCCCTTCTTTCCGCCACTTCTTAGTTCTCCTCCTTCTGTCCTCCGATTCTCCCCGAAATAGAGTAAATAATGTTGAGTTATGCTTACAGGAAGGGATAAGAGAGGTAGGGCCTATCTACGTCTGTAATTTGAAGGATGTCCATTTTTTAAAAACAGACCGATAAGTAGCAAGAACTGACAGTAGCAACGGCAGAAGCAACAGCGGTATTAGTAACAACAACAACAACAGCAACAACAACAACAAAAGACAACAACGCCTTCTTTTTAATACATATTTAGAATACAAATGCCTTTAAAATTAATTTACATAAGAAGCAACCAAAGTTTTTCATTGGGGTAGCTTTACTGAGGGGACTCTCGCTTTCTGAGGAATCGAATAATAGATCATCAGCTTCCACTAACGTCGAATTGTTTGATATACTGTTTCCGACCTAAAAATCAACGCATACGATGTGACGATGGACTACTCTTGGAGTTTTAAACTGCGAGTTTGATGTTCCTTCATTGGCTGGTGTCACAAAGACATTCTATTTCAAGCTCGTTGACCCCCAGATTACAAGGCAAACATTTTTTTTACATAAATTAATTACCGCTACCAGCACTTTGTTCCCGTAACAGTGATTAGTAAAAAATGATGATGGAGCTTAGCAATATAACACAGAGCTTCACATAATTATTTTTTAAAACCTTGTACGTGTTCATAATATACTTCCACAGAAAGAATATAAACCAAGACAGTAATCAGAACGCTAAATTACCGTATTCATATTATAAGACGGGTTTTTTTTCTCATCGATCGGTAGCTTTTTCTTGTAGCTTATGTTTCATCCCTATCGTGAGATGATAAGGAGAGAGCGCTGGTAAGCTACGAGAAAAAACGTCGCCATTTTATCAATATTGTGGTCGTCTTCGTGACATGCTGTAAAAGAAGAAAGAGAGGAACTTATCATACTCTTCTTGTGTTGCAGACGATGGCGTATGAACGTTAGTTGGCAAGCTAAGTTCTGCTGCATTGGTTGATCTTCAGCCTTCCTTTTCCTTCTTTATTTCGCGACTGTGTAGATCTACGGGTTATAATACCACACGTTGTTGAAAATACGTAGTTCAATTCTTATTCTTTGCTATCTTATTTCTAGAGGTAATATTGTTTCTCGCAATGATCTGTGCTAATCTTGGTGCTCTTTCAATAAGAAGGGAAAAGATACATACTTATAGTTCGCGTATCATTTTGAGGTGTCAACAGGGTGCGGCTTTCATTGTTATTATAGGAATCTACCTTCCAGTTTTGTATTGTATGACCAATTATTGTTCAGTGTGGAACATAGCAAATCTAACGGACACGTGTTCATGATTCATTGAACTGGAAATTACGCGAAGTATTACTTTTGATCTTATCATCATTGCTTCGGCGAGCAGGAATTCGAATCTCTTTACTCCATGGCAGTCTACGATTTTGAAGTCCTCTGTTACAAACCCATGGGTACGTGATTTCTTACTGTTGTGACCAGTGAATAGTGCTCCTGTTAAAGGGTGCTTTCGCAGCGGTAAGCGCATGGACAGTCATATGGATACGTATAAACATTAGCCTATGTTATGCAATATGTGCAACATTAGTGTCAGCATGCAGTGGACCATTATATTCGTAGTGGGGTTTTTTTTTCAGCAGTCGGTAGGACATTTCTGTAAAGAAACAAGGAGGGTTAAGCCCTACTGTCCATTGCCAATAACTCTAAGGGAGCCAAATATTTTCAAGAGTGAATAAACAATTTTTAAACTAAATAATCGTCGCATATTTTATTACGTGCAGTATGATAAAATAGTATTTATAAAGTCAAGTATCACAGAATCACAGAAGGACTGAGATAAAATGTCATGCCATAGGAAGAGTTCTTCCTCCTAAATCGCCCCCTCCGCCCTCCTCCTCCTCCTCCTCCTCCTCCTCCTCCTCCT